AATGCTAGTCATTTGGCTTAATGGGGGGAGGGGGGATACTTGATTTGTAAAGGGCTTGATTTGGGGGGGGGGGGGGGGGGGGGGGGGGGGGACAGAATGGTTTGAATGATCAGGATCTCCTCTTAAGAATGTAGGGTCGAGATTAGTTAGCAATGATGGTCTTTGGTCTTCATTTCTGGTTTGATATAAGTGATGATCTCCAAATAAGGAAATCTTCTCTTTGGTGTAATCTTCTTTGACTCCTGATGAAAGAGAACGAATGCTGACTTTATCTGGTGTGTGATGACTCTTGTAAGCTCCTGTGGACATGAGGGAAGGCGAATATATTGTCTTGGTAAGACATATATTCAAAGTTTCCTTGTTTGGCTCCAATAATGCTCCATTTGCATGATTTGATGGTTTGAGAGGATTTGGTGGTTCTTCTTTGGTTTGGCTCCGGTTATTGGCTTGTATACCTTCATTAAGCATCTCAGGATGGTTGAATATAATGCTGACTTCATATAGATCCGAGCTTTCCATAATTGGCTTCATAAATTGATGAGTAGGTCCATATATGCGGTTTAGGGGCTTTGGCGGTTTAAGCTGGTCTTCTTGCATCTTAATTTGAACCAGGGGTGTCTTGGCACGATCAGAAGGCTCTCTTTGTTGTGTAGAACGACAGTGTATTGGTTTTAAACACTTTTTCTCTTTGAAAATAGTTTCCAGCTTCCTTTGCTCCTCTCCTTCAAGCATGTTTAGCTCCAAGTCAGCTTATATATGGCTCCTCTTCTCTGGTACAGCTAGCATGGTACTGATGCTTACATCACATGCTGAAGAAGGAAGCCTTCTAGTAATTCAAAGGGCGCTAAATGCACAACCAATCTTTGAAAATCAGGAGCAAAGAGATAACCTCTTTCACACCAGATGCACCATTAAAGACAAGATATGTCATTTAATCATTGATAGTGGTTCATGTGCTGACATTGCAAGTGTTTCTTTGGTAGAGAAACTTGGTCTTCGAACAATACAGCACCCTAGACCCTACAATCTCAAATGGTTAAATGATAAAGAGGAGTTAAAAGTGTCAAAGTAAGTCAATATATCACTTACCATTGGGCAGTATAAGGACGAAATCTTGTGTGACATTGCACCTATGCAAGCTGGCCATGTCTTACTTGGGAGACCTTGGAAGTCAGCCACAATGGGAGAACAAATGAGTATTCTTTCCACCTTAACCACTGTAAGCATATTTTAGTTCATTTAGCTCAAAAGGATATAGGAGTATTACAAGTGAGAGCTAAACAAAATACTGGGAATAAGGCTAGTAATTTTGCTATTCAGGAATTTTTAGATTTAATTCCACCAGATATATTGCACTTGCCTTTGCCAAGAGATTGTTTTGCAGGTTTAAAAGAAGAAGAGTTCAAAACTGAGGAATTTAAGGAGAATAGTGTGAGCAACAATGGTGAAACCGTGATATTCACTACGGAGAAGCCACCATTAGCTGAATTTAAACCAACACTGGAGCTGGAGGAAGCCAAAAATATTCCATTCCTTCAACTACTTGAGCATCTGAAAGCTAATCACCAAGGTAAGCTCTTAAAATCTAAACATTTTTCAAAAACTAACTTAAGGTTGTTTGATGCAGGTTCTGAAGTTTCGAGGACATAACCTCTTCAAGAGGAGAGGATGATACAATCCTCATTGCTTATACACCAGGATTTAATAAAGAGAGGAACCTTGGAGCTAAAGAGGATGGAGCTAAGCTTGAAGCTGAGAAGAAAGGAGGACTTATAGCTGAGCTGAGAGGAGCTAATGATCTTATAACAAAACAAAATCATTCTTTAAGGCCAGGAGGACGTCTTAACCAAGCTAAACCAAGTCTGAATTAATTCAGAATCAAAGAGAATTGCCTTAAACTAAAGAAGATACCAAAGGAGTCATTTAAGGAAAGTTCGTATATATGTTATTCTAACATATTATTCGACCCACTTTCATCATCTACTGAATCTAAGGAGATCGACAAAACTCCCATGGTTCAATTCAAGTCAACATTCAGCCAAGAAGATCCATCAAATCGCCCTAAACCACCAAATAAAGCCACATTGGAGCTAGTTAAGGAAACAAGGGACCATATGACATTATATTCGTCCCACCACTACATTCGACCACCAAGATATATCTCAAGACGTCCAAGACCACTAAACCACGCCAATAACCGGAGAAACTCGAGTCAAAACCAAGGAGAAATCAAGAAGAAGCGACTTACCAAAATCAGAACCAATTTTATTGTTCTAAGGAGAGAAGATGGAAACAAAGACCAACAACCACATCTATCACTAAATCTCAACCCTCCATCATCCTTAGAAGATTCATCATACTTATTTCGTGCCAAATACCATCAACAATCCCCCTTTCAGCGCCCAAGTCAAGATCATCCCCATTTAAGCTAAATGGCTAGTTAACATTTCCCATCACTTATGCCTCTTTCTTTGCTTTGTTTTTAAAGCTTATTACCGTTTTATTTACATAAGTTAGAGCCTTATACAAGCTCAAACATTTGTATTTTCAAAGTCACCCAAGTTATAATCAAGAAAAGTATTATTTTGTCTTTTAAAGAAAGATTTCTTTTGAATACATTTGTTCCTGCGAATCACTAGTCATTTTTGAGGGATTCAGAAGACTTGTAAGACGTGTAGAATCTAGTTATTCTTGTGAAGATTAGCCCTTGAAGAACTAGAGTCTAAGATTTTGTGTTTGGGGTCATCAAGCACAACCAGCTTATCAACCATCAAGCTACTCATTCCACCAACTCTAGGTCAAAGCAACGATTCAATGAAGCTTTACTTTAACCACATTTCAATTATTGTATCAGAAGGCCAGTGGAGACCATGGGGCAGTGCCATACCTTCAATCCTGGTGTTTTGAGATGCGTTTGTCTGTATCGAGCTGGGCCCTTGGTGTTCTGCTCGATGTGCATACCCGATATGATCGCCTTGCTGTATAATGGCTTACTGTAATAGCCATATATTTTTAACCATGGAACAGAATGACTTGAAACTTCCACCATTAGAAATCCTACTCCATCCTCTACAACTTTGATGAAGACCACGGAGACTGAATCGGGCCGGAAAGCCTCCGTTCGGGTCAATCAATCGGATGATCAAAATCTGTTATGCATCTGTTTGGGTCCTGAATGTTCTGCTCGATGTGCATGTCCGATATGATCACCATTGGGCAGGGCTTTTGATGTTTTCTCGATGTGGCACCTCGATATGATCGCCATCGTGCATCTAGCTCTACGTACGGACTGCTTCTTCCCCGAGATAAACTGCATCGGGCAGAGTTTGCAGAGGTTTTGCTCGATATGGTACCCCGATGCAGAAACAGAGCTTTAGTTTTCTTGGATTTTCCACATTATCTGACCTATTCAACCAATTTTTCCAACCTGAAATCACTCAACAAACATATCAAAAGCAAAAGGAAAGGATATTTACATAGATAGTCTAGGGATTACCTTCTAAGTGTGTTTGTTTAAGGTCGCTTAGCTTGACCTTTCACCCTTGATGATCATGGATGGGGATGAAGTGGAACGAATTTTCCTTCCCCTTTCTTGATAAACAAAGCATCACCCCTTATGTAGAACTTCTTCTTGGGGTTCCTGACTCTCTTCTTTGGCAGTTGTGGTTCATCATGATGCATCTTAATCTCATCAAACATGCCAAGCAGACAATCACCATCAAAGGCTTCACCATCATATTCATTGTGGTCAGGAGGGTCTTCATCTTGTTTCAGCACTTCAACCTGGAATCCCATCAGCTGTTCCATGACATCAGGTGGCTTCATAGCAATAGACTCAAGCTCATTCTCAACAGGTGATGCTTCATCCTTGAGTAGAGGCTCTTGCTTCTTCTTCATGGTCTCAACTTGTGTCTCTTGGAGAAGGTGTTTTTTGGCAAACGCTTTTAGAACATAAAACACTGCAACAAGCTTGTTATACGCAGCTACTTCCTTTTCAGTTTTTTCTTTTTCTAAAGCAAGCTCCTCTTTTCTGTCCAAACTTTGAAGAAACTGTTCAACAATATGGTTAACGACGGCGACGGCGACGGCGATGGCGACGGCGACGGTGACGGTGACGGCGACGGCGACGGCAAGTAAGACAGTGAGAGAGTCGTTAAGTGAAGGTTCTGAAGCTCTGAAAATGAACCTCGTGGCTTAATTCAGCCTAAACCAAAAACCATCCGGTTCAGCCAGCTTATTCGGGTCGGGTCCTAGTTAAAGCACTTAACCAGGTGTAAAACCAGAAAATCCACTAAAATGCAAAACCAGATTTTTAGGTTTGTTTGAGATTCTCACGAGGGATACTTCTTCATTTTCTGAGCTGCAAAATCCACCGGCCGTGCTCTGGCCATCGATTTTCAGGTCACCGGTTACTTTTTCCTGAGTCGCGACTTCTTTCTCTCCTTCCTCTGGGACCTACTTGTTGTTCAGGTTTTCCTCTTTCTTTCTTCTCTCAGTTGGTAATCTATCAATTGTAGTGTTCATCTCGAGTATATTATCTTCTCCAAATCGAGCTTCCAGATACTGTGTGCATTGCATTCCCGTTGCAAACGAGTCAAATTTAAGTATATCTCTTGTAAAATTGTTATGATTATGTCGTGGCTTTGTTGATCGTCAAATGATTTAGCCCATGATTGTTTGTGTGGAATCCGTTAATCTTTTCATCCTTTGCATAGCTTACCATCTGTCGATTTGATAGCTTACAAGCTTTTTTTTAGCTGTGCCGTAATAGACTATATGTCTTTTTGGATTGTTATTGAGAGAAGTAAAATTTGCCTTATTCCAAATGGTTTCGTTTTAGGGAAATTAGAAGTCTTCAGTATGTTAGGATGTCAGTAAGGGAACTTGTTCTAAACACGAGACGAAAGCATACGTTTTGTGGCAAAAGATTGTTTCTTTACTCTGTGACATCCAGAGTTAATATATTTCCTGTGAATTCTACTGATGTATTTGTTCTTTAGGTTGGTGCAGGAGATATAGTGTTGAAGCAAGTTGTTGGCAAGTATTCGATAGGCAAAGCCATTTATGGAAGTAACAGAGCAAAGCTTAGACCTTTCTTGTGCCAATCCAACTGTGGCTTCCACAATGGGCGGGTACGCCACCATCCTTCCACTTTGATTACTTGAGCGAGTAATCTGATTTTTTACTAGAATTAATAGTCGAAGTGAATTCGTTAGACTCAGGTGTGTACAATCCAGTTCTTGGTGACCCTTGTTTGATTCAATCACAAAACTATATCTGCTTGGAAGTTTTTTTCAAATTTGTTTTTTGTTATCGCCAAATTTGGTTGAGCTCAAGTGGTGTTTGCTAAATAATGTTTTGATGGATTGTATGACCAGAGACCCAAAATAGTTGTAAGCTGGGTTGTTTTATATGTAGCTCGTAAATGTAATTGACTGAATTGTTCCACCTCTCATTTACTCTGTTGTTATTTGATATTGCCAATAGCTATATTATTGTCCATTTTATCGACTCAATGTCCAATGGCTACATCGATTTTAATGAAATTCATTTAGTCTGCTTAACAGTCTATAAAAGCTTCGGCTCTGATGCATATCTGATCTTTTGTATATGTTTAAATTCTGAGTTGGCTTTGCCAATTTTGACAGACTGATCTTGCTCCGAGAAGCTTCTTTGAAGACTACGTGGATGATGACACAAGCCGACCATACACATACCAGAAAGAGAAAAAGTCAAAGAATCCAGACAAACATGTATCGTTCAAGCAACGGACAATCACATACATGGAGACCTTCACTCTCGATGTCTTCATCTCAAAACGCTTTGTTTCGGCATCTCTCACGCACCGTATCATATGTAAGCAAGTAGCAGTAGCGGGAACAAACTCAAAAGACGTAAAAGCGGTTTTGAGGTGAAGATGTGACATCTCGGCATGCATGTCTATAGGGAGGATCTTGTCTGAACGTGCGAAGGAGGCTGATGTTTAAACGGCTTCTTATACCCCATGGGACCAAGACAAGTTTGAAGGGAAAATCAGAGATGTCGTCCAGTCCCCTGTTGATAACAGAATTGATGTCAAAATTTATCTCGATTAGAAACCAAACATGTTTTGAAATTAAGGTTTGATTTAGATTTTAACCAAATGAAGGATCTATACATCTAATCTTATGCATGGTCTCTTCCTTCCTTACTCCTGTGTTATGGACTTATGGTCATGCACCTCCCTTGTGCGCCATTGTTAAGATGAGAGAAGAATCTACAAAGACTATCTGATCAGAAAGAAATTTACGAGAATATAAGCGGAGAATGAGTATTTTCAACAATGTCCACAGCTTCTTGATCATAAATGGTGATGTTTAAGACATCTCCCCCATGCCTAAATTCCTCCATGTCCCTATGAAGTAACAGCTCTTGAAGCATAATACCAAGATCTTCCAATGAAGCATCTTCATCATCACTCAACTCTTCATCCTCTTCAGCAATCAAATGGCAGATCTTCTTGGCTTCTATCTTTTTTGTCACAACCGTGACCTCACCCCTTTCATCTTGAGGTGGCAGAAGTATATCCCTCACGCTTAGGTTCAATGTCCACATTGATCTTCTCAATAAAGCTTGGAGTCTTGAACATTTCCTGTGGCCCATAGAATAGTTCTTTAATCTCCTTAATAGATGCTTCAGCTTCTTTGTTGAAGGCTATGTCTCTCTCATGCTGAGAAAACCTTGTGGGGTCGTTTTGCTCATCTTTGTTTGATGGAGTATAAGGCTGGTGGGTTTGCACAATCTGAATATCATCCTTGTAGAACCGTGGATGGCTTCTCATAGGGTCACTTTGAGCATTGTAAGCAAAACTCTGCTTGTAGCTATGTTGGCTAGGACCATTGTAGACATAAGCATGTGTAGGTAGTTGTTGTAAATAACGGCTGTACCATCCAATGCTATCCCTTCCTCTTTTGTGTAAACATTGTAGCGTTCAGTATCTTTCAATGTACCTGAAATGAAAACAAAGAAAAAGTAAACTAGTACTGAAATTATAAGCATAGACTAAACAAGTATTCAAACTCCAATACACTAAACATCCCACTAAGGCAACGGCGCCAAATTGAAGAAGGACTTTTGCAAGTCTTAACTCAATCCCTCTCTAATCAGATGTAGTATAGATGAGGTTTATCAATCCTTTGTGGGGATAGTGTAATGGAGATGCAGAAGCTTGTTAAGCTAAGATAAAAAGGGGTTTAAAAGTTCAAGCAACCAAGTAACATAAGCAAGAAAACTAAAGAGTTCAAACTATGAATACTAAAGAGCTGAAAAGTAACAACGCAATAAGCAATAATAAGCAAATGAAACAGAGCAAAGCGGGACAACTACTAAACAAATTCAAAATTTAAAAGCACGGTTCAAGACTAAGGCAATGATAATAGGGTAATCAGTTATTCATGGTTAAGGTGATCAAAACAAGCAATTCTAAACACTCAACCTTAGGTAAGGAAACACTTTTATATATATATATATATATATCAATCCCGTTGACTCAATGCATTTCAAACCCACTTGTGATGGTGTATTTAAAAAAAGCAAGCATTAATCACAAGTTTCATATAACCAAAAAACATCCTAGCATCTAATTTTGTTAGGCTAGTTCTAATAATCTATTGTGCGATGGTTCAGACTTCTGCTCACACTTGTGATGCATAATAGAAATCTAAGAAAAGTTTCAACAATGTGGTCATAAGCTATAAACATATTCAAGCAAGAGGTAAAGATGCAAAGAGATATGATCATTCAACATCAACTTCATGCAATGAAACCTTTAGGAATTTCATTAAACACATAGGGTGCACATGAAATCCTAACATTTGCTTATCCTTCAAAGAGGTCATAGATATTAAGCACAATCATACAAGAAAGGGAATGAGAAGATCTATGTCCTAAACAACTAAATCAATCACAAGAATCACCCCATCTGCTTTAAACTTAAACCAAAACGAAACTACTCCCTAACCATAAGTAAAGCCACGAAAATTACAGAGAGAGACAAGATAAACATGATTAGAACTAGCAAAAGGGATATATGTAAAGAAAATGCAAGATTTTATATAAAAAAAAAGATGATATTTGTTTAACAAACCCCAAAAACTCTCTCCCTTGTTCGTCACAAGCTCGAAAATAAAGATAAAGATAAGCCAAAAACTTATAAAAGTGAAAGGATAAGGTTTGATCAAAAGCAGAAAAAATTGGTCAGCCCGTGGATAAGGTGCATCGGGCAGAATGCATGATGATTTGCTCGATGCAATAGGCCGATGCAGTCTATCCCTGTTGCTTCAGACAGCTTTGGTCGGTTCAGCATGCATCAGGCAGTTTGCTAGGGTTTTGGTTGATGCGCTTCTCCGGTACAGCAAGCTGGTGAACACTGCATAGCCGAAGATGCTTTGATCTAAACTTCGAACTAGGTAATTGTTTTCAACTACTGGTCATCCACAAACAGATGGTCAGACTGAAGTAGAAAATCAAACCTTGTCCACTTTGTTGCGTGCATTGATAAAAAAGAACTTGAAAACTTGGGAAGAATGTTTACCACAAGTTGAGTTTGCTTACAACCATTCAATTCATTATGCTACTAAGTTTTCACCATTTCAAATCGTTAATGGTTTTAATTTTTTTACCTCCTCTGGATCTAATCCCATTACCTTTGAGTGAAAGAACTAGCATGGATAGGAAAAAGAAAGCTGATCTTGTCAAGTAGATCCCTGAGAAACCAGGAAAACATTGAGGAAAATACTAAGAAGTATGAAAGAAAAGCGAACAAAGGCATACATAAGGTTGTGGTTGAAGTTGGAGATCTCATGTGGATTCACCTAAGGAAGGATATATTTCCAGCTGAAAGAAAGTCAAAACTCATGCCAAGAGTTGATGGTCCATTCAAGATAATCAAATAGACCAATGATAATGCTCATCAACTCGATCTTCAAGGTAAGTACAATGTTAGCTCAAGCTTTAATGTTTATGACTTAGTCCTTTTTGTTGCAGATGGTCCAGATTTGAGGTCAAATCCTTTTCAAGAGAGGGAGGATGATGTGATCATAGATAGCACCAAGGAGACTGAGCTTGTGATAGCTTGCTATTTTAGACCATTTTAGACTGCATTTCATGAATCTTTTCCTCTGCTTTTACATTATAGTTTAGCATTTTAGTATCATTTGCACTTCGAATCAGCATGGCATGCATTTAGCTTATGATTGCATACATTTGGATACATGTGCATGTTTCTGGTGGTTTTCAGGTGAATTTGGAGAGTTTTAGAGTTGGGAAGGAGATGGAAGCAGCCCATGATCGAAGAAGATGTCAGAAATGGAGCTCTTGCAAAGTCTGGTCCATATCGAGCAAGCATATCGAGCAGAACACCCGTGGAGTATGCTCGATGTAAGCAGCAGGACGAGAGGAAGGGGATCAGCACGAGGAGTCCAAGCCATTGGTCTCCATCGAGGTCCAGCATCGAGCAAGGAAGCCGATGCGCGCTGCACGAGCCATATCTAGGTTGCATATCGAGCAGAACATCATCCGTACCACCTCGATGTGATTCATCCATGCATTGACCATTTGACTTTTGTTGATCTTATCTTATTTTTAGGTTTTTTCTGCTTATTTTAGCTCCCTACTTAAAAGGGAAGCCACAAAACATAATATTTATCCAACTTTAGTCTTTCATCGAAAACTTCTCTCTTCTCTAAACAAAAAGGGCGATTTGCCTTAGGTTCCTTATCTTTAATAAAGTTTGCATTTTTATTGTTTAATCTTGTCTCTTGATCTTTGTTCTTGCACCTTGGTAGTTTAGATTTATCATCTTTTCATTTTAATCTCATCAAGTTATGTTTAACTCCAAACAAATGGGATTAAACATGATTAGTGAGTAGTTTACCTTAGATTTAGGGTTCTAGGTAGGTAAAGTGGTGATTAAGATATGATTAAGGGCTGATTAGGCTTATTTAACTGTTCTATGTTCTCTCCTTCTCTTGCAAAGTGGTTATTTTTTATAAAGCTTGCTCCTTTTCATTGAATATGGTATTGATCGATGCATATGGTTCACTAAATGGCTCTTTATCTCATTTCTAAGCATGGTTCGCTTATTTGGCTTGATAGTTTGGCTTGTTCTATGTTTCTTTTATTCAGTGACACCAAAGTGATAGTTCACCATTGCTAGATGATTCACTTAGGGCTAGATAGTGCTGGTTTTGAGATTCTTGCTTGATGGTTAGATAGTATGCATTAAAAGATCTTGCCTTTGTTTCATTCCTGTTCATTGCTTAGCATTGTTAGGATGTTGCAGCTGTGTGCTTAAATCCATATTCTTGATTGGGGTTTAGCTAACTAGGTCCTTATTGGTTCACAAGATTGATAAGTCGATCTGAATTCTTGCATGGGTGAGAGAATGATTGCTTGATTAGTACATTTCTTAGGCTATAATGGTTCCGATCTTTATGCTAATGGTTGAAGAATACGCCATCACAAGTGGGTTTGACACTTCTATCATGTTGAATATGAACTGCTTATTGACGCCAAGTTGGTTCCTTTTAGATACCTTGTCTAGGAGTAAAACATTGAGAATTGCTTGCTTATAAATGCTTGATGCTTGCCTTTCTTAGAAATCTCCATTTTCACTTTTGAAAGCCACTATCCCACAATTTCTTTGAACCTTGAGTCTTGCTTTTAATCAATTGTCTTTAAGATCATCTTGCTTAGTTCTTGCTTTAGTTGCCATTCTTGCTTAGTCATTGCTTTAAGTTCATTGCTTAGTTCTATTCACTTGCATTTAGTTTCTGTTTTCTTTCCATTGCTTTGTTAAGTTTTTAGACTTGTCCTTGATTAATCAAAACTCCCATCATTGCTTAGCTTTTGGCATTGTTTGCATCTCATCTTCCACAAATTAATTGACACCTGATCCCTATTCTACAACTGATTAGAGGCTAAGAATATTTGGTTTAGGATAGAAAAA